AGAGAGAGAGAGAGAGAGAGAGAGAGAGAGAGAGAGAGAGAGAGAGAGGAAGAGAGAGTTGAGGAGGATGGACGTGGATTTGCGGTTTCTTTGTCTCTTCCCCCCTCTTCACCTGTGTACATACATTTTGATTACGGCTCCGGGCGGTTTGCCCGTTCTTATTTTCGTTTCGGCTTTCTGAAATCTGGGCTTGGATTTTTGCTCACGTTTGTCTTCTCGATGTCCGCTTTTGCTTACATTCTGTGTATGATTGTCGAATGTATGGATGTATGAACGTGTGGATGTGTGGACGATACGCCTGCTTGTATATCTGTTTGCTAAGAACCCCTGTCCTTGCTTTTCGTTTGTAACAAATCTTTGCCCACACCTGATGCAGTTGTAGATGGGATAAGAATCTCGCCCCGATAGCGATTTTGTTCTCATTTTTGCTTGTCTCATGATGAGGGTTGTGATATGGTTGCATCTTGCATAATCCGAAGCAATTAAACGATCCGAGGTCTGGCTCCGCGAACGCCACGCGAGAACACGTGTAAACGCGGCCCGAGTCGCGCCCTTACACGCATTCCCGTACGTCGATTCGCCCACCCAAAAAGATTTGAGGCGGAACCGTCATCCCGTACGAGCACGCTGAGGCGCCACTGAGACGGCCTGTCCTACACGTGCTCGTGCGCGGTGACGATATCCCCACCTGCGCTATCCCATCGGCAATAATACCATGACGCGATCTTGGGGCTCTGACTCGTCCTATGACCCGGACTATTTCACCCGTATAATAAACGAGCTCATAAGGACGCGATACCCTTGTCACACGGAGAATTGGCTATGTCCGCGGGAATTCCAYTGTGCCACCACTAGCGACCCTCGGTACTCCGATTTCCCTTCCCCCGACCACACCTACTACTTCACCCACCCGGGATTCGTTGAGATCACCACCAGTTTTCCTCCTTTCCGCCTCCTTCTCCCGTATCATCAACTCAGTGTTGTTCCGTGGCCGGCCATAGCCCCCTATTGGCCCGACACGTTTTGTGTGAATTGTCGACATTGCGGCGAACAGAGAACTCCGGAATTCCGAAGGCCTTACCCAGGCACGCGGCGACCTACGCCACGTGGCGGCCCCCGATGGCCTAACTTTTCGGGACCGCCTCCACCGTGGAGGGATTTCCCCATAAACTGTCGCCCACAGTGCCCCGGCCCCATCGGGCCTTGAGTCCCCTGCGCACGCGCCCCTTTTTCACCCAATTGCATTCATATCCTTAAGACTCCCCCACTTTCCCAAGAATACTTGGCACACCCCTTTTCGCAATTCCAGGCCCACACTCCACTCCGATGAGGAAGGCGCGCTGGGCGTGAGGTTGGTATCGGAGCCCAACATGTGGTTAGGGTCTTAGGATTGATACCACGTTAATTAAGCGACCTGGCTAATCGTGGGCAACCTCGCCCTCAGAACGCGTATAGACGCGACCCTATTGTCACCAGAAGCAGATCGGCTAACCGACGAGCAGCCAATATGGCTGCCAACGTGCAAAATCCAGTTCCGCAACAAAATGCTAACCCACCTAATCAACCTGCCCCACGTGCACGAGCTCCCATGTCGCCACCAGATCTCTGTCTATTTGATCTGGTGCACCATCTCGCAGGAGCATGGCTGGCCATGCTTAGAGCACAGCAGTACGATGGTCACGAAGCACAGATCAACATTCCGGCTCGAATGGGAGGAGACGCTCATCACTGGTATAGTACCTATGTGTGGGTGGACCTCCCGACCTTTGAACGAGATTTCATGAATCGATTTGATTATGTCCACCCTGAGCAAGCGCTGTACATGATCAAGGACCGAGTGTAAAAACCGCTCGAATCCATCGCGGAATATCGAAACCGGTTCTACCGAATGTTCGTAAAAACTGAGCGAGGTGAGCAAGTAGGGAGAGATCTGTTCATTGACGGACTCCGCAGTCGAACAATAAGGGCTAAGTTGCGAAAGCAGTTTTCCCCCATCACCCATACGCTACAACAAACTATGGCTGCTGCGGAAGAAATGGAACGGAAGTTCGCAATGAACTTCCTGGAAGGAGAAGATTACCCTAGGTACGGAGATTCGACCGAGCTCGCTCGAGCAAGAGCAGAGCTGGCTGCTTTACAAAACAAATTTGAAAACATGGGGTTTGTATCAGGACCTGTCACCTATATGGAACAGATAGGCCCCAAACGAGTAATCCTAAGTGAGACTCCAAGCATCTCTGCTCCTATGATGCCCCCGCCTGTCAGGACATTACCCCCGCCGCCGGTAGAGGCTCCTGTACGATCAAACGAATCGGCGGTCATTTTTGAACTAACCAAAACTTTGATTAGTTTGATCCAAGAAAGCAAAAAGGAACAGCGAGAGCACAATGCTCGGTTGGAAGCCATGATGAGGAACATGCGACCTATTGCGGTGCGTGCCCCTCCGATGCAACAAGGATTAGCCCCTGCCCCTGCTCTCGGAGGAGCTGCGAACAATCTGAATTTTTGCTACGCCTGTCATCAGCCCGGACATCTAGCCCGTGATTGCCCCCACCGACCCCCACAACAGCAGATCGGAGTCGCACCTATGGCTGCGGCCCCCATCGCCAACGGACCTGGACGAGTCGGAGCCTTGATGGAAGAAGTAGAGGGTGGGGGAAGTGCCCTGGCCACCACGGAAGAGGCCGCCGAGCTTATTCCGCTAGATCAGTACGTATCGCTGGGATATCTTGGGCTAGGAATGATCGGAACAATCAGACCAGCGCCATAACCAAAAGAGATGGCGGAGTGGCGACCGTCCTTTGGAGAAATGGAGTCGGGAGGACCCACCTTCGTCACAAGGGAGATCGATGTATTAAACATCATCCGAGCATTGGACCATCGGATTCCCCTTCCGATCGGTCATCTACTCTCGATCTCCGAGCAAGCCAATGAGCGAATGTTACAGCACTATAAAGCGAATCGAAAGCGATTCGCTCTCGCCCGAGCACCAAACGTAAAAGTCAAAGGCCCCGCGTCGGAAGAAGACCCAACAAGCACTCCGGATCCGATACGGTTAGGATTAATTCAGAAAGACGATCATTTCCTACGGATTAAACCCATTCCGTGGAAATCGGCAAAGTGCGATATAGAAATTTGGGGAATTCCTTACAACGCAATTATAGACTCGGGAGCAGCTGTGTTGGCTATTTCACTGAGAGTGGTCGAAAGGGTAGGCAGGAAAAAACGATCTGATCATGCTCACAGAGAAAGATCAGCTCGTTTCGGCAGATGAGGAAAAAATTAAAACTGTGGGGAGAATGACCAACGTCGTCTTCCGACTAGGAAAAGTACACGCGCTTGGGGATATCGTAGTACTAGATGTTAATACGTACGACGTTCTTTTCAGACTTCCTTCTCTTGTGGCGTTACGAGCAAACCTGGATTTCGAACGACGAGCGATCGTCCTCCGAAATACAGGAGGAAACCCCTACGCTGTGCCCATGCGATTGACCCTTCACACTGCTATTAACGCGGTTCCACGGGTTTCGCCGATAATGGCAGAGACTCTCCGCATGATCTCCTGGGACGAACCCGCATAAGGAAAGTCATCAACTGAAGATGCGGAGAGCAGTGACGAGGATGATCCGGAGATCTTGAAATTGGCACGACAACGTGTTTGTTACCCACCGCCCAAAACGATAGCGAGAACGATGCAACTGACCAGCCGAAAAATTCAAAGGACCAAGGCGATGATCTTGGGAGAGCCCCTCGTGCAGATTTTGAGGATGGTCGACTCTTTGGAACTCCCTCAAACTCTGTACGAAGGGATCGCCCCTCTCCTCGTCAGGTACAGCGACAAAAAACATTTTTGCGACATTACAGAACTACCTAAGTCTTTACTAACATCGGCTAAAGAAGTGAGATTCTTGCGCTTGGGGGCGGAAGCAAGCTCTCTGGAACCCCCTGCGCATTTCGAAGAAGAGACAGACGGACTGGGGATAAAGATCACAACTAAGGAAGTGCCATGGCAGGATGTTTGTGACGGGATTACCCCGGAAGGACACGTGGCAATCCGAGAAGAAGATGCTCAGATGATGGTCACGGTGTTCTCCTGGCGATCGGATCATTCATTCATATCGGCGCCTCCACCCGATTTGACAAAACAGGCGAATACGAAACAGATTGACGTTCGGATCTGGGACCAACTTTTCGAACTGCACGTTCCACAATATGTGCCGGATGAAATCCACCGGGTAATCGCAGATATTCTAACGGAATACGAAGGAGCAATTGGTGTGTCGGACACTGACATCGGGTTGTCGTTAGTAATCCAACATGAAATTCAGACAGGAAATCACTCCCCAATTCATTGCAAACCTTATCGTTATTCCTTGATTGAACGCAAAAAGGCTCTCGAACGAATTCGGGAGTCGAAGCCAGTGGTTGGATTGAACCCGCTATCGCACCTTGGTCCTTTCCCGTAGTATTAGTGCCGAAGAAAAACGGAGCGATTCGCATTTGCATTGATTATCGCAAGCTGAATGAGATCACGATCAAAGATGTGTATCCCCTCCCCTGGATTGATGATCTGTTGGATGCGATTGGGTGCGCTAATTATTTCAGCAAGTTTGATATTCAGCATGGCTTCCATCATATTCTGGTAAGGGAAGAAGATCGACCGAAAACGGCCTTTGTGTTGTTTGAGGGTACGTGGCAGTGGGTTTGGTGTCCGATGGGAGTTTGCAATGCGCTTGCCACGTTTCAGCGAGCAATGAACATGACGTTCCAGAATTTCGTCAACAAGACACGGCTGACGCAAGGGATGATTAACTTTTGTGCGATCGTGTACATGGACGATATCCTGGTCTATTCGGAAACCTATCACGGGTTTGCGCAACATATTGAATGGACATTGGGCGCACTGAGAGATGTTGGGTTCAAGATTGCGCTGGAGGGAAAAAGCGAATTTTTCCTCTCGAAAATTTCGTTCTTGGGCTACGTCGTGACACGTGGAGGATTGCGGCCGGACTTGAGAAAAGTTGCGGCGGTGAAGGAAGCCCCGGTTCCCACGTCACTGACGCAGGTTCGAGCCTTCTTGGGGCTGGCGTCGTACTATCAGCGCTTCATCAAGGGCTTTGCCACGATTGCACGACCGCTAACGAATCTGTTACGGAAGGACCAGCCTCTCAGTTGGGACGCGGAGTATCAGCAGGCCTTTGCAACCCTCAAAGACGCTCTGGCAACGACCCCTATTTTGATTCGGCCGGACCCCTCGAAGCAGTTTATCCTCATCACGGACTAGCAACCGGAAGCTATTTCCGCTATTTTAGCCCAGAAGGGGAACGATGGTCGAGAACACGTCATCGAGTACGCGTCTCGAACCGTACCGGACGAACGAAGAAACGACTCCGCACCTCAAGGCGAGTGCTATGCGGTAGTTTGGGGAATCCAATACTTCCATCTGTATCTCTACGGACATAAGTTTTGCCTTGTAACGGATCACGAGCCTCTGTTGGCGTTGAAGAAGCTCACCAACTACACGGGCATGATTGGCCGTTGGGCGGTGCGATTGCAAGAATACGACTTCGATATCGTCCATCGAAAGACAGAGCGACACGGCAACGCGGACGGGCTGACACGTCTGCATTGACCTGCCAAGGTACCAAAGGGCGAGGAAATTACACCGTGGAAGGAGCCGGATTTGACCAACGAGCCTAAGTACGAACAGGTGGCAGTCCTCCCACGTGGCAAGAAGCAAAACGGTAGCGATGGGTGACGGAGGTAACCCCACTACCCCTCTCTCCCCCCATTCCTCTTCGTCTCTTCTCTCCCTGGCCGACAAATTTTGCTATTTTTGCGAAGCCATCTCCCGCGTATACTCGGTCTCCACGTGTCCTAACAGAGAAGGGTATGTCGATTGGATAGATTGTCGACAGTGCGTCGCACGAGCCCATAGCTCGTGCATCCAATACAGAAACGATAGTAAACCGTGGTTGTGCCCCTTGTGCCGGACCAACAAGATTCCGACCGAGGCTCACTTTTTGGATGCCACGTCAGAAGGATTGGAAAAGACCCGGAAGTTTAGCAGGGCCGAAGTATGGACGGATATTGCCTTGATTGCCACCCTAGTAGGTAACCCCCTCCAGGATTTCACTAAGGAAGATCGGAGGAGGGCCAAGGAAAGGGCTCGGGATTATCGATGGATAGAAGGTAGATTAGAAAAACGAAAAATGGACGGTAGTGGGATTTGGATGGTAGTGCCGCATCCGTTCATGCGGTACGACTGGGTTAAGACAGCCCACGAGGAAACTGCGGCTCATTTTGCCGTACGAATCACGGAGTCCACTATCGACAAAAATGAGTGGTATTGGTCCAATATCCGCGACGATGTGAAATACATTGTCGCCAACTGTCAGGTCTGCGCCGCTGACAAGGCGCCGATTCAGCCGCCAAGATCGATAGTGCCCACGGTTGTTGAACGTCCATTTCAAAGAGTGAGCATGGACACTACCGACATAGTGGTGCCCCCTGGCCCTAATAGCTGCGAATATTCAGTCCTATTGGTATTTGTCGACCATTTCTCGAAATGGATCGAAGCGTATCCTTGTCGCACGCGGCAAGCCACGAAAATCGCGCGGTATGTCAACCGTTTCCTCGAGATGCATCAAGATACGGAAGAAATCCTGACCGACAACGGAGCTGAATTCAGGGGAGAAGTACTAAGGAATCTGGTCCTACATGGCGTCGCCATACGTAACACTGCACCCCATATGTCCCAATCTAATGGACTGGTCGAAAACGCTAACCGGGTGATAAAGACGGCGTTGGGACGTAACATCGTGGCACGGAATCCGAGACCCTGGCCCGATATCGTCGATCACATCCTGGCGGTCCATCGCGGAACGCCCCACGAATCGACGGGGCTGAGCCCCTTCCAATTAAGGACCAATAGCGTCGCTTGCGTTTCGATACCAAGCCTCCCGGACGAATCTACAGTGAACCGACGTCCCACCAGGGCCACGGCTAGGGACAAGGCCAAACGGCACCTAGAGCTAATGGCACGGTCACTGCCCAGGCTAGCCTGAAAACGACAGAAAATGACCGAACTAGCCCAAGGCCGACAGATCCGGAGCTATGAGGCCCGAAATGGGAATGCGGGTCCACGGCCCAGTACAAATTGGGGGACGTGGTGCAGGTGAGGAAATGTGCTTGCCAGGGTAAGTTAGCGCCACGATTCTTCGGGCGATATCGAGTGATCGAGCTCGGCCCCAATGACGTGGACACTGTGCGTCTCACCCCGGAAGCCTCTGCCAGCCGATCGGCCCGCCCGATCACACGCCATGTGTCCTATCTTCACCTCCTCCCCTCTGCTCCGTCTCCTTCTCCCTCAATCTCTCCTTCTGAAGAAGCCGAAGACGATGACTCTGACTCTCTGCCATCCCCCTCTTCCTCTTGCTCCCTCTCTGCCTCTCCGTCTCCATCGCCATCGCCATGACTTTTCTGGAGGAAAGAGCCCTCAGCGAAGCATCGCTTGCACCCCGTAATCGATTGATGATCCGAGAAGTTTATCATCCCCATCTCAGTCCAGATCTTCGGCGGCTTGCGCACTTTTTCTGCACGGAGGCGTGTATGTAGCGGCGGTGTTCAGAATCGAGGGCCGGCCCAACGCAGTGGTACTAGCCGAGGCAGTAGCAGTTCATCAGCGAGCGGTGCCAGGCGTCAGCCGCATATCGGTCATCATCAACTTCCGTGGCTAACTCTCCACGCTCCTCCCTTTACGACACACGGTCGCGCCGACACGAGCGATCGAATACGACGGCCTTCAGATGTACCAGCATGATCCGCCGGCAGTTCTCCCTGTTGTTGTTCCCTTCCCTCGCCCCCAATGAGTTTCTCTCCGATCTCCGTTTTTTATCTCCCCTCCACCTTCCCCACCTTCTGGCAGTCCGATATCCATCCTCGCCTTTCCTGCTGTCTAGCGACCCTTGTTGTCCCCGACATTCATCCCCCACACTGGGAACTGTGGCGCGAAGACTTCGTCGAGCTTTCACTGTGCTTGGTCGAGGCACGGCTGACGTGGACCGAGGACAAGGAGCGCCCGCCTTGCATAGAGCGCCTGGAGTTGCTGTTCATCCAGGCTTGGCGAACCAACGTGGAGGGAGAACTCCTCGTGTTTCTGTTCGGTATAGTACGGCCCGGACATCAGGAACTCATCGCGCAAGAGCTCGCGATCCCGGTAGCGCAGCTGGCGGACGATCTCCCTCTCGACATCATCTCGCAAGACGGCGAGCACCCGATTCCTCATGTGCTTTCTCGCACGTTGACGCCGTATCTCCAGTGGTCGGCTTGTGTGCAGGGAGCCGCAGAGCGCATCCCGCCGTCGCAGCAGCAGTATTTGGATCCCAGGACGGTTTGTGATCCTGCCTTCTTCAGGCATCCAACGGCAGAGCAGCTTGCTGCCATTCGAGAGGAAGAAGAGGAGGGAGAAAGCACTGAGAGTGACGAAGGAGAAGACGAGCGGGAAGAAAGTGGGGAAAGCGACGAAGTACTCGGGGAAGAGGACGAAACCCCCGAAGAAGGAAGCTATAGCGAGCATAGCGAGGGGGAGCTGAGCGAAGAAGAAGAAGAAGAAGAAGAAGGAGAAGAGGAGAACGAAGAAGGACCTGTGGAATCGGAGTGGGAAGCTGTGCCGGAAGAAGCGCTGCGCACGGGCACGGAGGCTGAAGATTGGGAGGCGGCCCGCAAAAGAGAAGAAACCACGGCCGGGACGAGGGAACTAGAGTTTGTGAGCGGGGCAAGCTTGCACGTCCACGACGACCCAAACCAAGATCCGGAGCCGCCCCGACCAGAACATGGCGACCTCACGGCCACGACTCCGACCCCATCAACACGGCGACGGAGTCGATCCCCCTCCTCCCCAACCCGTCCCCCAGTTCGCCGACGTACCGATACGGGTGATAGGCCTTCGTCCCCGATTACTCTCTCGCCGTCCTCTTGACTACCTCACCCTCCGCCAGCTCACCACCCCCATCACGTTCCCCTCCAACCCGTTTCCCCGCGATACCTTCCGCTACTTCTATGCTGCTCGCCTCGCTGTAGTAGTGCACCCCCACCCCTCCATTCAGTGCGCCGTCCCAACCTTCTGCCTCCATGTTTTGCTCCTTAGTGCCGCATGGCGAGGCCATAATATGATCGAGGTTTATTGCATAGTAACGGGGACCATCCCCGCCTGCGAAGATCCCGATCGTTTCCGCGCGGCACTTTTCCGAACTCTCACCACCCTCTATCCTGATTACCTCGCGTCCCTCCCTCGCACTGGCAACCGCTTCCCCCGTTTCCACCGCATCGTCCGCTACCAAGCGCTTCCAGAATCTGCAGCCGGGATGGAAAGGTTCCTGCCCCCGCTACCCATAAGCCCTCCACCCCGCCATGCCGCCATGCACCGTCTCCCTTTTCCCCTTCCAATTAATTATTGATGCAACCGGTAATGGATGCGTGTCGCGACGACGGCACGAGAAAGATCCCGTCCTTGGATCGTCGAAGAGCCCAATCTGAGGAACTAGTAGAAGAGCAGAGTTGCCACGTTGGATGACGTCCACACGCAATCGAACGGTAAGTGGCATACAGAGAATTGCTCTGTGTGTCGATCGATTAGAGAAATCGACACGTGTCAACAAGCAAGCAGGAGCTTGCTAAATTTTGGAACCCCCTGGGCGTCACATATGTGACGAACCACTTTCTGTAACGCGCGAGTTTCTACGCGGTTGCAACGAGGGGTCCTAAGCTGGGAAGATTGGGCCAATTACGGGAAATCGGGATCGGTGGAAAATTGCATCAGTACCCTTGCTTCTTCGTCTTTTTCGTCGCTTCTTCGGGGCTGGGTGTGTTCTGGGACGGCCGGTAGAATGGTTGGTCGGATGGATGTCTGGCGCGCCACCGCGCACGATATGAATAAATGTTGACGTCGTTTCTTTTGGTTCGGTTTTCGATCTTTTGGGCGCGGACATCGCGCGGGAAATTGCTTCGTTCTTTTTGAATTTGCTTTTGAATTTTTTTTTTCGAATTTTGTCGAGCCCCCCCCCGATGGCTCTCGGAATGATTTTGCTTTTTCGCATTAGATAGGAATTTAGGAATTCAGTAATTAGGATTTTTCCTGTCGCGCGGCGCCTTTTGTTTTCACGCTTCTTCATGCGGCTGCAACGGTACTCTGATTAGTGGGCACCCTTAATCGTATGTGTAACTGTAATTTTGGGCGGGCGCCATTGTAATTGTATCTCTCTTCTTGCACTTCGTCTCTCCCGCCATCCCTTTCTTTCTTTTGCTGAAATTTTGTAAGCCGCAGCCTGCATGCTCGGATCGATGCGTGGAGAAGGGTTACGTCCCCCACGCCGCGGCCGATCATGCAGAACGCAGGCGTCCTTTCTCTAACCCTCACTCTAAGTCCTAGTAATTCCGCGTTCTTCGCGCATGCATGCACGCTATAAATTTTGGCTGCGCGATTAGTGAGCTCTCTTAACCCGTTGTTGGAAGCCCGGGGTTGCGCGATCAGGAAGGGTCGRCACACGAGCGAAGTAAGAGGTGAGTAGAGTAGGAGTTGGGCGACCCGACGGGCTGGTGCCGAACACGCGGGATTGACGTGGGCCACGACGGACTGTGGGCACGGGCGAATCCGACGGGTGCGGGARGACTAAGCGGGGTGACAACTTCATGGGTTGGTGCGTGACGACGGACTGTCCGCATCGGAGAGAGAGAGAGAGAGAGAGAGAGAGAGAGAGAGAGAGAGAGAGAGAGAGAGAGAGAGAGAGAGAGAGAGAGAGAGAGAGAGAGAGAGAGAGTTGAGGAGGATGGAGGTGGATTTGCGGTTTCTTTGTCTCTTCCCCCCTCTTCACCTGTGTACATACATTTTGATTACGGCTCCGGGTGGTTTGCCCGTTCTTATTTTCGTTTCGGCTTTCTGAAATCTGGGCTTGGATTTTTGCTCACATTTGTCTTCGCGATGTCCACTTTTGCTTACATTCTGTGTATGATTGTCGAATGTATGGATGTATGAATGTGTGGATGTGTGGACGATACGCCTGCTTGTATATTTGTTTGCTAAGAACCCCTGTCCTTGCTTTTCGTTTGTAACAAATCTTTGCCCACACCTAATGCAACTGTAGATGGGATAAGAATCTCGCCCCGATAGCGATTTTGTTCTCGTTTTTGCTTGTCTCACGATGAGGGTTGTGATATGGTTGCATCTTGCATAATCCGAAGCAATTAAACGATCCGAGGTCTGGCTCCGCGAATGCCACGCGAGAACACGTGTAAACGCGGCCCAAGTCGCGCCCTTACACGCATTCCCGTACGTCGATTCGCCCACCCAAAAAGATTTGAGGCGGAACCGTCATCCCGTACGAGCACGCTGAGGCGCCACTGAGACGGCCTGTCCTACACGTGCTCGTGCGCGGTGACGATATCCCGACCTGCGCTATCCCATCGGCAATAATACCATGACGCGATCTTGGGGCTCTGACTCGTCCTATGACCCAGACTATTTCACCCCTATAATAAACGAGCTCATAAGGACACGATACCCTTGTCACACAGAGAGTCGGCTATGTCCGCGGGAATTCCACTGTGCCACCACTAGCAACCCTCGGTGCTTCGATTTCCCTTCCCCCGATCACACCTACTACTTCACCCACCCGGGATTCGTTGAGATCACCACCAGTTTCCCTCCTTTCCGCCTTCTTCTCCCGTATCATCAGCTCAGTGTTGTTCCGTGGCCGGCCATAGCCCCCTATTGGCCCGACACGTTTTGTGTGAATTGCCGACGTTGTGGCGAATTGTTGTACCACAGTGAGGGGAAAACAGACTAGCAACAGCAGGGCTTGTAAAAGGGGTAAGATTCAATAGCAGGGCTTGTACAAGGGGTACGATTCAATAGCAGGGCTTGTACAAGGGTTAAGATTCAATAGCAGGGCAGAGGGTGTCAGTTCCAAGGGTATATACGTACACAGCACAAGAAAGTGTAGCCTAGTGGGAGTTGGGGGGGGGGGCGTGGGGGAAAGGGGGAAAACAAAAAACAAAAACAAAAAAAGTGTAGCATAGTGGAGGTTAAAGTTTGAAATTTGGTATTAGGCCCTTTTATTATTAAAAAAAAAAAAAAAAAAAAAGTTTGAAATTTGGTAGTAAGGCAAAGATTCATCCTAGGAACATAACACACTAGGGCTGTCAGATACACTTGGGCAGCTAGAGCAGTATGAGCCATCAATCTTCCGGACCTCAAATCGGTACAACAACAAAAAACAACAATGGCGATAACAACGCTGATAATGGCAATAACAACGCTAACGATGGCGGTTATGAGGATGACAATATCCGCAATAACAACGAAGGAGCAGGTGGAGGAGGACGAGGAGGAGGACGAGAAACAGGACAATAACAAGACGTTGGTGGTGTCCTTCGGGACATCTGTTAAAATTGGAACGATACAGAGAAATTGATTAGCATGGCCCCTGCACAAGGAATGACACGCATAAATCAAGAATGGTAAAAAAAAAAAAAAAAAAAAAAAAAAAAAAAAAAAAAAAAAAAAAAAAAAAAGTCGGCGGTGGTGGTAGTGGTCTAGTTAGTTACACGTAAAAGAAGATATCCATTTTTTATTTTTTACGAAGCGTGAGGAGGGTGAGGCATAAGGTCAGTCCAGAGTGTAGGATCTCCCGCATATGGGGAAAAAAAAAAAAAAAAAAAAAAAAAAGGTCAGTCCAGAGTGAGGTAAAAAGGGAAGTGCAGGGCCCTGGACCCATTAGCGAAGTATTCTACCCCACTTCGTTCACGATTTCGATCACGTGTGGCCTCGAGTGACACAGTACGACCGTCCAATAGATCGGATCTCGACGGCCTGGTAGTTTCCGAGTGGGGACTGTAAAGATGCCCACCTCCCTCCC